AGGGGGGGGTCAGTGCCAGGCCCCCAGAGCCCCTCCCATCCTCCACCTGACCCCCAGAGCTCTCCCCCTGGCTTCCCTACCCCGTCCCACCTCCGCTTTGGGGCACCCCCAGGCCAGGAGCCCTGCCAGCGCTGGGGAGAGAGGGGGGGTCAGTGCCAAGCCCCCAGAGCCCCTCCTGCCCCTCCCACTCCCCTCCCCTTTCCTGCACCCCCTGTGCCCCCCAGGCCGCACCCCCCCTCACCGAGCAGGCTGGCGCCGCAGCCCAGGATGGCCAGCAGGGCGGCGGTGCTGAGCCCTGGGGCGGCGCCGGTGGCAAGGGGGGGCTGGCAGGAGCGCAGGGCGCCGTCGGGCCGGCACTGGCAGACGCTTAGTGTCAGGGTGGGGGTGCCGGTCAGGGGGGGGGCGTCCGCCATCCACCAGCTCCAGGGGCACCAATAGGGGGGGTCCACCCGGGGGGGACAGCCGCGGAGTCCGGAGCAGGAGAGCGGCCGAGCCATCTGCGGGGGAGAGACACAGAGAGTAAGGGAGGAAGTTGGGGGAGGGGTGGAGAACTGGGGGGCCAGGGAAGGGGTGGTGAGCACAGGGGAGGGGGACACCGTGGGGGACCGGGGAAGGGGTGGTGAGCACAGGGGAGGGGGACACCGTGGGGGACCGGGGAAGGGGTGGTGAGCACAGGGGAGGGGGACAGCATGGGGGGCCAGGGAAGGGGTGTGGGGCAGCTGGCAGAGGTGAGGAGCGCAGGAATGAGGTGGGGCTGGTGGAGGGGTGGGGAAGGAAGGGAGCACAGGGGGAGGGGGACAGCATGGGGGGACCAGGGGGACCACTCTCACCCTCGTTGTCCCGCACAGTGAGGTCAGAGGGTCCCAGCCCCGGCGGGGAGCGAATCGTCACCCGGCTCCCGGCCCCCGCCTCGTCCCGGTCCAGGGCCCAGATGGTCTGGATCAGCTGTGGGGGGAGGAGAGCGTGAACCCAGGTGTGCTGGCTCCCAGCCCCCACCCCCACTGCACCCCTCTCAGCCCGGGCAGGGAGGGCCCCAGGCGTCCGGGTGCTCACCTGGCCGGGCGCGGTGCCGTGGCAGATGAAGGGCTCGGTCCCCGGTGCCAGCTCAGGCACGTTGTCGTTCACGTCCAGGGCGTGGACAACCACTGGGACGGGCGCAGCCTGCGCCGGGCTGTCTGGAGTAAGAGACGGGGAGAGGCACGCGGCCAGCGCGGCCACACGCGGAAACACGCCAGCCATGCACAACCACACACCAGCCACACACGGAAACATGCCAGCCATGCACAACCACACACCAGCCACACACACAAACACGCCAGCCACACACAAGCACATGCCAGCAACACGTCAGCCACATGCAGAAACACCAGCCATGCACAACCACATGCAGAAACACACCAGCCACACGTGGAAACACGCCCGCCATGCACAACCACACACCAGCCACACACGGAAACATGCCAGCCATGCACAACCACACGCCAGCCACACACAGAAACACGCCAGCCACACACAAGCACATGCCAGCAACACGTCAGCCACATGCAGAAACACACCACCCACACATGGAAACATGTCAGCCATTCCAGAAACATGTTAGCCATGTGCAGAAACACGCCGAGTAGCACACAATGACACACAGCAACACCAGCACACATGCAGCCAACACAGAACATGCAGCCCACGTGCAAAGCACGTGTCAGTCCACACATGGCCAATAGGTAATGATGCACAAGCGGTGCACCAGCCCCACAGCACCAGCAATATGCCGCCAACACGCAAAGCCCACGTGCATCCGGGGCCAGCCGCCACCCAGCCAATAGGCAGCCATAACAGCCAACACACGCAAACCATACCCACACACAACCAACACGCAGCCCAGACCCATACACAGCCACACATGATGCACATGCAGCCCCCACACCGCCACAGGCAAAACACCAGGGGAGAGCAGGCGCCCACAGATGACAGGGAGCCCACACGCCACCGACACGCAAAGAACATGCCAATGACAAGCAAACATCACATCACCAACATGCAGACACAGGGAGGGGGAGAAAAGGCCGGTGAATACATACTAAGGCAAACCAGAGCTGTCAGGGCCCCCTGCACGGGCAGCTGTCCCGCACTGGGCCCCCCCAGACCTCCCCTGCCCCTCCCCCAGTCAGCTCCCCTGGGCAGCCACCCCCAGCTGGGCCCCCCTTACCTAGTTCGGTGGCCACCACGGTCAGGTTGTGCCAGGCCAGCGTCTCCCTGTCGAGGGGCAGGGCCGTGCGGAGGGTCCCGTCCTGGGGGCTGATGCTGAAATACCGCCCAGGGTCCGAGTGGGGCAGGATGGAGTATCTGGGGGAGCAGCGAGAGATGAGGGGGTGAGGGGGTCTCATGTGTCCCCTGCTGGGAGCTCCCCCCACGGCCAGCGCCCCCATCGCTCCCCAGGACCCGCTGCTGGGAGCTCCCCCACGGCCAGCGCCCCTGTCGCTCCCCAGCACCCCCGCTGGGAGCTCCCCCACGGCCAGCGCCCCATC